TAAAAAAGATGGTGACTTTACCTCTTTTATGTTTACATGAATGGAGCTGGAAAATATTCTTCTTAGTAAAGTATCTCTAGAATACTAAGTATTCTCAAGAATAATTTACTAAGTAAAGTATTAGTATCCAATGGAAGGAAAAGTATCTAATGTGCTCAACTCTACTATGAAACCAATATAGAACCAACCACTCTTCCATATGAAAGCTATAACCCAACTACAGCCCAAGATGAAAGGGGGAAGAGGAGGGGAAGGGGATAGGAGGGGGCAAGATGGGTGGAGGGAGAGTAATTGGTCGGACCACATCTACAGTACATTTTACAACGGTACATGTCAAATCTACTAAGTGTAGAGTACATATGTCTAACACAATAGTTAAGAAAGCATGGTGAAGGCTATGTTAACCAGTTTGTTGTATTGCAAATTGTATATAAAATCAACACATTGTACCCTATAAATGCATTAAAGTACACAGCTACGATTTAATTAAAAAAAAGAAAGGAAATAAATAAAAATAAATAAAAAGTATAACATGAGTGGCTAAATGGATAAGAAAATGGGATATATATGCATGATGGAATACTAGTCAGCCATACAAAAGAACAGAATTATGTCTTTTGCAGCAACATGGGTGGAATCAGAAGTCATTATATTAAGTGAAACAAGCCAGGCATAGAAAGTCAAATATCACATGCTCTCACTGATATGTGGGCCCTAAAAATGTGCACAGGGATTTGGAGAGTGGAATGAGACAATGGCGACTTGGAAATGGGGGAAGAGGCAAGAAATCAGTTAGTGATACAATCTACGTGATTTTGGTGAGGGTACCCTAAAAGCCCTGACTTGACCACTATCCAATGTATGCATGTAACAAAACTGCACATGTAACTCATACATTAAACTGGGTTCTACCTGACTTCTACCTCTGGGTTTGCCATATAACCTCAGCTGCTATGACTTTGGGCAAGTCATTTCATCGATTTGGGTGTTAAGTTTTCCCTGTTATTAACAAGAGGAACTCAATGTCCTTTTAAGTAATTTAAAAATAAGTCCATGGTTCTGCTTTAGGCACAGAGATTCTATTTTCATTATATGTCAGGTAGAATGTCAAGTAAATTTTAAATTGAATGTCAATCCCGACAACTGGTAATGCCTCCTAGGGTACAATGTTGCAAAGGATTCTGAGCCATAGGGAACTATAGGAAATCAACCCTGGCTTCCAGGGTCACAGTGAGGAAAAGAGAGGAACAGCTATGTTCTTGCCACACATTTACCATCACTGATAAAGTTTCACCTTGACACTGAAATGCTACTGTTTTTTGTGAGTGCAGGCAGTACTGCACCAATGATGCCATCTGCACCTGCACAGGATTTTCACTCATCCCTTCATGTACTTACTTGGCTCCCCTTAACAAGCAAGGAATAAAAGTGCAAGAAAGCTAAGTGGTTTGGAGATAGCTTGACGCCACTGGAGAAAGTACATTTAAGTGGCCTACGTGAAGAGGGGAGAGGTAGTGAAGGAGAACGATAATAATCAGTATGGTTTCATATGAGACTCTACATAGAGTTAACATATAGAGTTAACAATCAGCTGTAAGTTAAGTAGGGTATTATTATCATGTCCATTTTATAGAAATGGAAGACAGAAGTTAGGCAAGAGGATCTGCCCAAGTTTACCCTTTGGTAAGTAGCAGAAACCAGATTTGAAACCAAGACCTTGTTCTCTTTCCAATCTCATGGGCCTCATTAGTCACACACTTTAAATGAGTTAACTAATCAAATTCCCAGTCCAAAGTGGCATAGTCTTCATTATTTGGAGTTATTCAAATATAAGTTCCTCCTCCTACAATCTAACGTCATTACTGCACATTTGTAATTTAACAGGTAGACATGCATTATAAATTTAGCAAAACTGAGCATAAAAGTTAAATATTTAAAAGAATGACGCAGAAGAAATCAGCCCAGTGGGCAGGGATCTAGTTTCAACACAATTTTAACACACTTAATAGAACCTCTGTAACAATTCAGTGAAATACAAACGTGGTATTAGGTATATATTTGAGGAATGGAATGAAAGAATGGGAATTGAGCCAAGTAAAATGTATCCTAAAAATGACAGCAAATGCTTTAAGGAAGGAACTTATCAAAGGCATTACTGTAACTTGCTAAATTTCCTTGGGTCTGACAACCAGGGCTAAACCTGAATTAGAACATGTTTTCTGGTATTGTCTAGATTTTTTTTTTTTTTTTTGAGACAGAGCCTCAGGCTGTTGCCCTGGGTAGGTTGCAATGGCATCACAGCTCACAGTAAACTCCAAATGCTGGCTAAAGCGATTCTCCTGCCTCCACCTCCCAAGTAGCTGGGACTACAGGCGCCTGCCACAACGCCTCGCTAGTTTTCGGTTGGAGCCGTCATTGTTGTTTAGTGGGCCCAGGCTGGATTCGAACCCACCAGCTCAGGTATATGTGGCTGGCATCTTAGCCGCTTGAGCCACAGGTGCTAAGCCTATTGTCTAGATTTTTATGTATAAGAAATTCAAGCCAAACAAAATAACAGCCAGACTTCTGACACATCTGATTATAGTAAAAGCATGGGACATCTATCACTAGCTCTTCTTCTGGTTAAATTTTCCACAAAGAAAGAGATGGAATGAGTGGTTAGCTCTCACCTAACAGACACAATGTAAGGGTACATGTTATATCTCTGGGGTGAGGGGCACAACTACAAAGGTACTTTACCTAACAAATGCAATGTAACCTAATTGTTTGCACCCTCATATTAATCCAAAAAATTTTTTTTAAATGAGAGTAGGGGATGATTGCAAGAACAGGATACAATACACAAAGCAACTGCAACGTAAAATCAAAATTCCTCAAAAGAATACATTGTTCCCCTAGGTCAGGAGGAGCAGGGGGACTAAACAACACAGATGGTATCCTTACATAATAGAAACCCCAGGCCTTCCCACATCACATCTACCTACGTCATTAGATATGAGAATTAGAACTTCCACTGACGTCAAATTGTACTCTCTAACAAATGCATAACATTCTTCTCAAACATCTCTGACAAGCAGATATCCCCCTATTTAATTACCTCCAGTGACAGGGAACTCAACACCCCAAGGGCACTCCATTACCAAATTCCCAATCCTCGAGCAGGACCCCAAATTAGCAGGGTTAAGGAGCCACTGATTTCAGTTAGAAGGGCCTTTCAAAAGCCAAAACCGTGATCTCCATACCATAGTTCTAGAAAAGGAATCTCAATAACTCTTGAGTCAAATTGGAGGTATAGGGAGGGAGAATGTCCTGTTTCCCTTCCTCTCATTTCAGTTGAGAAGCTCCCATTTTGACCCCCTATATATGCATTGAGATTCTGTGTAGTTTTTAAAAAGTTTTATGTTTGAGAAAAAAGGAGGGGGGAAGACAGTTTACAGGTAAATAAACTGAAGTCATAACACTTGCTTACCACCATCTTATGACTAATAGCTGCAGGGTTAAGACAACAACCTGGTCTTTTGACTCCTTCTCTGGTGCTTCCTCTACCACATAACATATAACAGCTTCAGGGGCAAAGTTCAAACTCCCAGTAGTGATACACAGGCCCTACAAGATCTTCAGTGCCACACATTCCAGTCATACTCAAATGTTTATTGAACCAACTCTTGTCAGACAGTTACCTACGTCCACACCTTCGTGCATATATTCTTTTAGCCTAAGAAGCCCTTCCTCATCTTGTCTGCATTGCCACCTCCATAAAGCCTTTCCTGACCCTCAGGTAAAACTGATCACATTCTTCTTTGTGCTCTACCTACCTGCAAGGCTTTATGGTACTTGGTTATCTGTTTGTAGGCTGTCTTCTCCACTGCTTCTTTTATATCATGTTACTGTAATACGTGCTAATCAGGAGGCAGGTGCTAAATATATTCATCTGGTCTAATCCCCCTTCTGATCTAGAAAACATCTCTGCAAACTGCCACACATTAACTCATGTATACATACATACATTCATTCAAAAATATCTGAGTGTCTACAAAATGCCAGGCATTTGATTGTATGCCAAGGAGAGGTGCATTTACCACGAAATTAATAATAAGCTTCAGAGTCCCTCACCTGCACCTTCCAAAGCTCTGAACCTTTTCTGTGATTTTCTATTTCTTAAAAAGGGCATACAGAACCACATAAGCTTTAGGCCTCACAAAAACCAGATCCACCCTTGGTGCCAAGAATACAAAGGGGAACAAGACAAACGTCTCTCCCTCTCTGACGTGTCCTGTTTAGTGTGGAAAACAGACAACCATTTGTTCATTCATTCATTCAACAAACACTAAGCAATGATACATACAACTCGTGCATTCTGAGGTGAAGCATTCTGAACACTGTTTTCTGCCCTCAAAGAAAAGGTTCCTGCTCTCAGGAGATAACAAAGCCCTTCTGTGTTTACAAAAGAGAAAGTAGTTTAGAAGACTGTAAAACAGAGAGTTTGTGAAAGATTATCCTAAACCACTGTCAAGAGGTACTGAGTCCTATTTACTGCGAGAGACAAGGCAGCATTCAGCTGAATGTGGCTTTTGAGCTCAAGTGTGGGTGAGGGACAAGTAAACTGAAGAGGCAAATACTGTGTGGTCCGTGCTGCGACAAAAAAGCAAAGGGCTGTGGGGAAGTTTCCCCTGCGTTCAAGTCTGCAGTGACGGCGAAGTTATCTACCTAACAAAACAGCCCAAGAACTTCACAGATAAAGATTTCAGAGAATCTCCTTTCCCCCACAAAAAAAGCCGCTTCCTAGAGTTCCCCGTATGCGTCTCTCTTCCTCAAAATAAGGTTGCTCCTTTCCCAAGACAGCTGTGGGCTCTCCGCGGTCAACTCTCCTCTCCCACCTTAAGACCACTTCCTTCACAAAATGCTTATGGGACAGGGTCTGGTTTGGCGTCAGGGGTCAGTCAGTCCCTGAGGATCTGTCCCCGCTCTCTAGCCCGCCGTTTCCATAGCAACTAGCTCACCACTTCGCGGGCCCGGCTGGAGAAGTCGCCCTTGGGCCGGGGGCTCCGGCGAAACAGCTCATCACGGCAGCCATCGACCCCGCCGCCCACTGCCACTCCTAGCGCCTTGTTCCGCGTCTTCACGGTCTTCACGCTGGCCCGGAACAGCAGCGTGATGTCCACCGCCATAGCGACCCGCACCCGCAGCCCCACAACGGGCCGGCACACGTCAGCAGCAGCGACCGCGGCGTGAACCCACAGCTGGAATACCGGTCCTGCTGAGCACGCCTCCCCCCGGCAACTACGACGCGAGAAGAAAGGTTCCGGCCTCCGCGGATTGCCGCGACGAAAGGAAAAAAGTTCCGGCCACAGAGACGAGCGGTGCAGATTCCGGACCCCGGGAAGCGCTCGCGGGCTCCCCTTTCTCTCTGCAGGCTCTCCGAGCTCCAGTGCGCTGGTTTGGGCGGGTGGCCAAGGAGGGGTGCATTTGCCACGAAATTAATGAAGCTTAAGCATAGTTTACTGTGAACATGACGCGCGTGAAGTGTTTTGCTTGGCTCCCAGTAAGTGGCCAATAAATGTTAGTTACGGTTGTTATTGTCATTTGTTATTTATGGTGGGGGAAGAGAGTCTGTAGAGATTTGAAGCTTAGATATATGAGCATAGATTTGAGGAATGGGTAGGAATTTGACAAAAGTGAGAGCTTTAATGCCGGGATCTTTAATGTGGGCTTCGGGAGCGTGGCCTTGCTCCTTTCTCGTGGCCCCCTCTCTCACTGAGCATGCGCGCCTTGGTTGCGGGGGAGTGGGGCGCGGAGGGTACCACCCTTGACCTTTGACCTCCAGGAATCACCTTGAACGGGACAGTGTCACGTAGGCAGTGACCCTCTGGGTGCGATAAGTGGTCCTTAGTCAGAGCAGGTGTGCGAGACACAGAGCTAGGTAGAGGCCGTTATGCTCCAACGTTCAGCCAACCTCCTCTAAAGTGAAGGCAGCACCTTCGCCTAGTTTACTGTGAACGTTAGATGACGCGTGTGAAGTGTTTTGCTTGGCTCCTAGTATTTGGCCAATAAATGTTAGTTGCGGTTGTTGTTTATGTTGGGGGAAGAGACTCTGTAGAGATTTGAAACTTAGAGATATGAGCATAGATTTGAAGAATGGGCAGGAATTTGTCAGATGGAGACAAAGGTGAGAGCTTTAATGCCACCGGATTCTGTCTATCTTTGATGTATAGTTTTTAAATACAGTACTTGTATAGACACAAGTACTATCTTGTGTCATAGTTATTTAAATTGAGTACAAGCCAGCCAATGAATTTTTTGGGAGAGGGTCATTTCTGGTTCATGGTTTACTTTTAGTTTAAGATTTCATTAATTTCGTCAAATTTGTTGCTTTTTTCTTAAAGAGGATGCACCAGTAGAACGTACAATATGATAAAACCCCAGTTTTAATGACTACCAGCGTAAAAAAGAATTCATAAAAATACTAAAATGTTATTTGCCTTTTCACTCTCATTTTCTCATGAGTTGTGTACAGTTGAGTTTTCCAGCGACTGATGTTGCAACAGACTGAATGCAGAACAGCTGTCTTCTATTAAGCCAGACTTTAAGGAGATTTGCAAAAATGCCAAACGTTTTTGTTTTAATTTCTGATATGGTAAATATAGATAAATAAAGTCCATATAACAAAATTTGTTTAAGGCCCTTAATAATTAAGTGTGCAAAGAACTTCTGAGACCAAAAGTTTGAGAACCACTATGTTAAAGAAAAACGTTTATCAGATATAGATGTTAAGAAAGTATATATTTACCAGCAAGGAGGAAGGAAGATGTTATTTAAAACCCAAGCTGTAGCCACTGTCATTTTTCCTATATGAGGAAAATAAATGTCCATACAGCTTTTTTCCACCTATGGAGGGAAAGAGAAAGAAATAAAGAAATTACAAAATCTTTGCCAAAGATTATGTCTTATGTAAATGACCCTTTGTTTTATCTAGACATGAAAGAGTCTTTGGCTGTGCAAAGGTAAAGCTGGGAGTGGAATAGAGGAAAAGAGAGATTGCTCTGAATAATAAAGTTAGGGAGGTTGAATTAGGGGCAAGGGTGTGAGGGGAGCCAAAACACAGGGCCAAGAAAGTAGAAAGTAAGTAGTTGGGAAGAGTTTTTAGTGGGAAGGTGGCTAAGCTACCACAGACCGTCAGTAAGTGTTTGGTGTGCTTGGTTTTTTGTTTTTTTGTTTTGGATAGAAAGGTAGGTTGGGATAAAGATCTAAGTTGTCTCTCTGGATCTGTAAGAGCAGAGAAGATTGTGGCAGAGAGCTCAAAATATCAGTCTTTAAAGCCACAAGTGACAACAAGTATATAGAATTCCTAGAAAAGTCACAAAAATCTTGAGGAGGACTCTGGATTTCCCACAGATCATGGGATGTAGGATTGCACTTTTTTATCTTATTTGTTTTGCTCTTTTAACCTCAGCAAAGTGACTTCAGGACAATGAGCTAACATATGAAACCATGCAGAGCAGAGAGGAGATGTAGATAAAAATGAAGAACAGAAAATGTCATGGAAGTATACTACAAACTGCCCAGTTGGGGGTAGTACACAAATTATGTTTTCTTTATTTATGCAGCAGATATTTCATTGGGCCAAACATTGTTTTGAAAAATATACAGTTGACCCTTGAACAACACAGGTTGGAACACAGGTCCACTTACGTGCAGATTTTCTTCTGCCTCTGCCACCCTTCTTTACCCTTAAACTAAAACTGAACCATAAACCAAAAATGAAGTAGCAAAACCAGCTCCTTCTCTTAATCCTCCTCCTCCTTGGCCTACTCAATACAAGGATGAAGACCATGAAGACCTTTATGATGATCTACTTCTGTTTCATCAATAGTAAATACATTTTCTCTTCCTCATAATTGTCTTAACATTTTCTTTCTCTAGCTTGCTTTATTATAAGAATACAGCATATAATACATATAACATACAAAATATGTGTTAGTTAACTGTTTATGTTAGCAGTAAGGTATCAGATCACTACTAAGCTATTAATAGTTAAGTGCATTGGCTTGATGCCTGTGGCTCAAGTGGCTAAGGCGCCAGGCACATACACCTAAGGTGGCGGGTTTGAATCCAGCCTGGGCCCGCCAAACAACAATGACGGCCGCAACCAAAAAATAGCCGAGCATTGTGGCAGGCGCCTGTAGTCCCAGCTACTTGGGAGGCTGAGGCAGGAGACTGTTGTGAGCTGTGATGCCGCAGCACTCTACCCAGGGGGACAGCTTGAGGCTCTGTCTCAAAATAAAAAAAAAAGTTAAGTGTGTAGAGAGTCAAAAATTACACATAGGGTGGTGCCTGTGGCTCAAAGGGGTAGGGTGCTGGCCATACGCCGGAGATGGCGGGTTCAAACCGAGCCCCAGCCAAAAAAAAAAAAAAAAAATTTACACATGGATTTAAGGCTGGGCAGTGGGATCAGCACCCCTAATCCCCACTTGTTTAAGGATCATCTGTATTGCAAGCTCCAAAGAGGTGCCACACAGCAGCAACCCCCATATAAGCAGAAGTAGGCAGTTTAGAATCATCTGGGACTCTTTCATAAAAGTCACTAAAAATCTCCCTCAAAAAAAGTGAATTGCTTGTTTGGATGACCAACCCATAACCCATGATGGGCATGAGCCGTGAGGGATAAATAGACCCCTGTTGTTGTCAGCCCCTGAGATTTTGTCATTGTCACATCCCTTTGGAGGGGCTGGTTTTATAGCCCCGCTGTCTGGGAACAGATAGTGTGAGCAAGCATCATTCATGTGGAGGGTTCCCAGTGCCTGAAAGGGAATTCCCATGGGCTGGGGAACCAGGGTTTTCTGGATCCGTGGATTCAAGGATTTACCACAATAATGAAATAACAGGAGACCCTCTGAGGTAGTGTTCATTGTTCACTCATATTCAGGGACTCTCCTCCCAGGGTAGGATTATAGTTTCTTGACCTATTGATACTGATTTGGCCAGGTGATTCCCACTAGCCAATGAAAACTGGCATGCCGTTTCCAGGCAGCAAATGTACAGCTAACATGTGGTATACTCTGCTCTTGTCCATCTTCTGTGACAAGCCACAATGTTCCAATGTTCCATCAACCTGGGTCCTGGGGAAAATGGCATGGAACACGGACAGCCAAGGATATGTGTGTGCTGGGAGTGAGGGGTCAGCCTTTGCTCTTGTTGTCCACAGAGGTTTGTGAGGTCATGTTAACTGGTGCATAACTAGTCTGATCTCACTGTTACAACTTGTATGCAAATATCTGCTATTTGAATGTCCAATATTCAATATCAACAAGAATATTGGATCCTTAACTTACCATCAGGACATAACTGTATTTCTCAGTGAGTAAAGGATGGAGAGGAAGGAATGGCTGTATTATGTTTAAATCTAACTGGGAGAGAAGACATAGTGGCAGAAACTCCTGGGACCACACCTTGGCAGAACTCAATGCACAAAACAGATAACTTCATCTTAGGAAGTGGAATTAAAGAAATCTATTGAAAACAACTTTTTTCTGGGGGACCCTGGAAAGGACCATGACTCTAGGGACTGGAAGCTCAAAGAAGAAACTTGTTCCTAAACAAGGAGCATAGCTAGAGAGATTGGGGCAAGTTTCTCCTGGGCACTCTTTCACGAGTTTAGCTTTGAAATGGACAAGCAGAAGAAAAGAAGGGAAAGGCAAGAGGCAAACACAGGTCATCGTGGCCCAGCCCTTTAGGGGGCTGCCTCTGCCCCTCCGCCACCTGCCAACCAGCACATAAAGGAGGAGCTTCCTGCCCTCATTCTTACCTAATGCTGGTCTTTGGTCCTGAGCCCTTTGCCCTTGCCTTGTATACAAACAAGGAAGGCCTGTCCCAAAAGGTATACCTATATCCTGACTCCTAGAACCCATGAACACGGCCTTACTTGGAAAGAGGATATTCAAAGATGTAATTCAGTTAAGGACCTTGAGGAGGTGATTTTGGATTACCCAGGTGAGCCCTAAATCCAATAACAAATATCCTTTTGAGGGACACAGAGAAGGTATGGTCACGTTAAGACAGGCAGATACTGGGTGGCGTGTAGGGGATAAGATCCTTTTGCTCAAGACATGGCAGTTCGCCTCAATGTGCCCTTTCAGGTAAACTGCTTCCAGGAAGCGCATTCCTTGTGGATCTGAGCATCTGCACTTGCCTATTGATGTGCAGGAATGTGTAGAGTGACTCTCCCTAGGGGGCGTGGAGAAGTAGCCGAGATGAGCTGGAGGCTG